TCTGTCCGTTTGTCCGTCTGTCTCCCCCCCCCCCTCTTCTCTTTTCTCCGAGGTCGTTCGTGTGGCTAGTTCGTCCGCGGAAACGTCTATAGATTGTTCCACAATGTGTCAGGGTAGCGGCCGTGGATGCGACGGCCGCCGTAATGCCGCCGTAGAAACACGCCTTTCGAGTAAAACCCCTGATTCTCCCCGGTCATTTTCAACCCGGCCTCCTCCGCGAGTCGTTACTCCCGCGAGGGTGATTCTCGGGGTTGTAATTACGATCGATCGCGACGATACGGCGTTCATTAATTCGTACGGTCGCTTTGAGATTCACTTGAGCCCGAAAAGGCGGGACGGTACGCGATAAAGAGTTCACACACCGGTGGGACGCGGACAACGTAATAATATCTTCCTCCTGAGCTTGTTCCGGTCTTTCGCATCTGCTACAAAGAGTTATCGTCGCGATCGCGCCGTATTTATTGTATCCTTTCGCGGGCAATATCGCCGCGCGGGAGTTTCGGTCAGCGTCTCTTCCGCGTGGAAAAGGGGGCGAAATGCAGCGGCTCGTATCCGTATGGTGCCCGTATCGAATGCGATCCGAGAGGAGGCATTGTCACGGTACAGGAGCATTTTTCATGTTCGCGTTTCTGAGGAATAACGCCCCGAGACCGCGACACGCCAGCGGTGCATGCTCCGTGGAAAATGGAGGTAGCGCATTGAACATGTGAGAGGAGAAAGGCGATCGTAACCGCTTCGCGGGCGCGAAGATAGAAATATCGCGGTATACGAACGTTAAGCAGCGAGCGGACCGACGGAATTGAACAAACTGTGACGTGCGGCACGATAATACGGTAGATACCGAAAGCGCAAATGAATAAAACTGACTAAATTATTAGCAGGAATTTTGAGAGACTGACAGAGGTAAAAATAATTTTCCGTCACGGCAAATTTCATGCTGTCACAGCAATATCTGACAGTTACCATGTGAATAGCAAAACAATCTGTTGAAGATTTATTGTCTATTAGTGTTGTATTTTCAGCGGACATCACACCGGCATCAATAGAGCCATTCATAGATATCCGAATACGACGCGAAAATCTGGGTAGAAAATGGCTGGGAAGGGAAATCAGGTTTCATTCGAAAGATGTGTTTGATCAAATAAAATTACGTCATGTGTTATATAGTTCATAAAATATGTTTCCGATTCGAACGATTCCGAAAGACACGAATTTTCATAGCCCGTATTATATTTAGGTAATCCGCGTTCGTCGCGCAAATAGTGACTCCTTGTCTCTCGCTCCCATTATATTTCCCCACGCTCTGATTATATATATTCGTTGTGACATTTTTCTCGATCTTTTCCGTAAAATTCGAATTCAGTTATGTCATGAGAGGAAAAAACGTGTCATTGAGAATGTAAATAGAGATGTGAATCGAGCAACGTTGCAAGTTCTTCTATTGAACATCGAAAGTTCGTACTTTTATATCGAAAGTTCATCCGAAACTTTTCATTCATGCATTTATAAACGGCTTTCAACTCCTCGATATATTCTTCAATTCGCTCATATTGCATGCATGAGTTACCCTTGTAAATGCAGATGTGAAAATTCGAAACAACGAACATACTTGCAAGAATAATATTATTACCCCTGATAAAAAATTAATGGTAACAAAAATGTGAGTATATTGTTTTATATTACTATTTAAAAATTCCCACGTTATTTTATATTATATATAACGTGTTATATAAAATGTTTATAACATTATATAATGTTAATACAACATTTTTGCGTTCTCTCCTATTAAAATTACAGTTCTCTCGCGATTTCTGAAATGTTACGATCTGCATAGTGAAAAATCTCTCGTGAATTATTGTCTCATTAGCGTGAGTAATTTAAAATTTAATTACCAAGATCACACGAATATTAAAATTCGAAAACTCGTATAAAACTCTCGTCGACATTTTTACACGGGAAAAGTGGATTACTCGAGTTACACAAGAAGTGACTCCGTATTTTTATTTTCCATCAATTCCGCGACATTCCGTGTAATATAATGAAGCAAATATTGATGTATGCATAGTCCGTAAATTTGCACGAAATAATATAAAAGGTTCGCGTAAATTGTCAGGAGTATATTTTATTCAAGAATGATTAAAAGTCACAGCCGCCGTTGTCGAACGGCCGCGCGCGAACGAGCTGGAAGCACGATAGGCTACTGAATAAATGTTTTCTTAATGGAAAATTAGCGCTTCCGGAGGCTTCGAGGCATCGTCACTGATGGAGCGGAAATCAGCGTTAAATAGGTGGCTTCGTAATTAATGGCTTTATTATCGAATCAACGAACTCGGCCAGTGAAAAATGGACAGCGGGAAAGTGGAGCAGTCTCGCTGGTGAATTCCAAATCCATTACTATCACGCGACAGCTCTGGGAATACTTTTACGGTAACCAACCTGATTTTATTCTTGCTTTCCGAAAGTTGTCTCGTGCAAAATGAATCATTCCTGACATTCTAATTTTAACTTAGCTCAGATGTTAATGAAATGTCGGTCTTAATCATCCGATGGAAAACCTTATCGAGCCCATAACTATTCGTCCCACGCAGGGCTCCCCGCGACTGCTGTGCGTGTAATTTTTATGAAAATCAGAAGATGCTGCTTCCTGTATATTCGTAATGTTATTCAAATTGCGCGGAAACGTCATAAAAAGAATTGCAAGTGGCGTACTCGCGTGTAATTTTCGCTGCCATTTCGCGAAGTAAGAATAGAATAGGGACGAACGCGAAATTTCAGTTAGCATATTACAATGAAGGCAACAAAATTACACAGGGCGAGAACTGCTGTTGCATTTAACGTTAAACAGAATCATATATTTATCCGGCACGTGAATCGAGTTACACCATACAATTATGAAATTTCATTAAAGTCAGCTGCATTTACTTTTTCAGCCGCGCGCGACACCATTTGTACTTCATTTTACCCGAAATAATGTGCATCCAGCCTCGAATAATTAAAATAATCACCACATTGTTATAATTTTGTCCTGATATGATTTAATTATAAAGCTCGGCTCTCTTTATGTATCGATCTTGCGATAAAAGCAACTGCGATATCGCGTAATAGCGTACGACGCGTAATTACACGTAATAGTCAACAATCGAACGTATCCGGCGCAAACAATGCGTAATGGTCGTAATGAGTGAGCGCGTTTTCAAATCGTTAATATCAATGAGATTCTCTCTCATTACCTGTCCCCGCGCAAAAACTCGAGCAATTTAATCATCCCGCCGGGAGACATCCGGTATGTGCTCCGCTTGACTAACGAGCGTCCATCAGACGACTCTTTCGTCTTCATTTGAAGTGGACGTGCACACGGGACGCGGAACTGAACTTCGGGATTTACTTCTTCGCGCGCGCTACCCTTTCCGAAATTATGCTCGAACGTGCGATGATACACGAGATGACGCCGGCATGTTACCGCGTTAAATTTTAATTTGCCAGATATACGAGAAAAACCGCGTTAAATGACGAGTTTGGGAGAATGCAGTTTCTCTGAATTTATTTCGATAAATTAGTCAAATCTCTCTCTCTCTCTCTCTCTCTGTTACGTTATGCTATTATCTAATAAAATCACGATATCGCCAAGATGACGTGATTTAAGAAGCGTTTTCAGCCATTATGTCGTGCGAACGCTTAAGTTTGATTTCCTCACAAATCCGAGATGACTCTTTCTCCGCGAGAATGGACTCACTTGGAAAGAGTTCGATCAAATTCCCAAATATGAAATTTTAAATTAGCTCCCGCTTTACTGAGTTTCGATTTTCTTGGGCGCTCGCGTGTCCCGCAGGACGGCGACGGATGCCCACGAATTACAGCGCGATTCTGTGGACTGAAAGACTAGATAGATTACCTTGTGCTTGTCGACGTGCACCGGTCTCAAGTGACGATCGAAGAGCAACTTGTCCGGCTCGATGTTGATGGGGCTCTGCCGTCTTCCTTTGCTGCACAGGGACCACTGCGGATTTATCAGACCCCAAAACGAAGGTCCTGCAATCAAATACAATGCAAATTTATTTCAACGCGATCTCCATTCGGTATTTTTTCTTCTTTTTTTTTCAGTACGGATTTCCCAGCGATTTGGAAATTGGTTTTTCAATTGCGGGAACTTGTCCCTGGTAATTCGTGAAAATTTTTCGCGCCCGACGGTTCCGGAGAGAACAACAGCTGGTAACGAGAATGTGATTATTACAAATGTTTTCGGAAAATACCGGTCACTTCGGGAATATATATATGCGAACGCATACATCCGGCGAAGCCCGCTGGATGGCGTTATTTTACCCGGAAATTTCGCACTCTTGTATCGTATCTCCGGGTATCCGGGAAACGCGGAAGTGGAGCCGGGGAAACTCGGTCACGCGAATTCCCGGGGGATGAGATTCTTATTTTCTCTGTTTGTGTATGAATCGTCGTGTCACGTGTCAACCGCTCAGAAATCTGAAATTTTTATAATTCCAACTTTTCCGGCTGGTCGCGCGGCCGGTCCGCCCCGTCCTCCCGCCGCCCCTTGTCCGGTTCGTGTCAAGTTTCGCCCGGTAAAAGGGATTTTGAACTCGTTTCACCGTTCGTACGCCAGGGACCGACGCAACCCCCGTCTCCCCTCCCCCTGTGTTTCCTTTCCTCTTCCGAACCTCCTCCGATACTTTCGTCTTAGGGACCGACCGACGTTCGCGTTTTCCGGCACTCCTCTGAGAAATTTAACTTTCTTCACGTCGCCGGCGCGAGGATCGATACCCCGAGAAAGCTCGGCTTAACGAATCCTTCGTCGCAAATCTGAACTCGCGAGGCAGCACGAACGGGGCACGGCTGCGCCGTACACAACGTTCCGGGTGTAATTTATATTTACGCCGCTAATTCATCGTGATCTCTCACAGCGATCTTATCGAGAGCGATGAGCGTTGCTTTTATTCGCTATCCACTCGCACGACTTATATTCGGTATCCCGTCCGGCGCGGCTCAATTTATCACTCCATACGCTATAACTCTAACAAAAGTTATAAGTCATCCTCTTAATCCACTCGTCGTTCTCACGAGGGATAACAAACAGACTTTCCTCGCGCCCTGAAATCTTCTCGGGCCCGGAGAACTTCTCGTTCTCGTTCCGCCCTCTCCACGTCCTTTTCGCAAAACCGCCGTCGACGACTCTCACGGGGCCAACGGCTCGCTCGCATTACAAGAGCGGATAATAAATTATTAGTCGTATAAATAACACTCTCACGTAAGCGACGCGCTGGTCGGAATTTGCCGACATGACGATACCCACACATACACATACATATATATATATAAACATACATACATACATACATACATAGAAGTGTTCATATCGGTGCTCCATAAGAGGCATATCATCTGTCCGAAGAATATCGATTCGCGTTGCGTTTAACAGCACGTTGACTGGTTCATTTATAGAAGAAAGATGTCACACGGATCATTTGTGATTGATGTGCAATTAAACGAGATAATCATGGAATTACAGCGAATGCGATACCGTAATATCTCCCGCTGACAACATTAATATCTAGCTTTCCAAAGTAATTCGACGACAGATAATGATTGATCGAAAAGTTCGTTCGTTTTCACTTCTGTGCCTGTAGCGTAAGAAACACGCGGAGGAGAAGAACGGCACGTTTCCATCGGTTTAATATAATAATTAAATCCATCGTTTCTCATAATCAATCTAATAATTATATTAAATATATTGAATTAAATAATTATATCAAATATATATTTAATATATATACAGAATATCCCAGATCAACATGGACAAACTTCGTGAGAACGTAGAACAGATTGAAGTGGACAAAAAAGTCGACTATCGTTTTGCAAACAACACGCCAAATTTCGAATTATTTATTATTGAGAATGGTCATGTATAGAGGCTTTTTTAATTAATAACTGAAAATGTCCTGCAACATTTTGCAAATAACACGTAAATTTTATTAATTAAAGAGTTAAAATAACAAATAAACTTGCTCTAAGTAATAAGCAAATATTAAACTTCTTTCTCTCTCTTCCTATCGAGCTTTGTCCCTTTTCGTCCACCTCTCTCATAAAAACAGAACACAGTTGTCAGTATGCTTGACTAAAATCAAGCTTCATAAATAATCTGGCAGATTTTAGAGCACCCCGGTACACACATACGCGCGCGTCCACAGTGAAACAGGTGCGCGATGTGTTTCAAGATGTGCTTCACGTGTTAACGTTGACGGTCTACCTAGAGGGGCACGAGGGATGTCACGTAATGACATCTCGGCACGCGAGCATAATCAAAACTTACGGCTCTGATAAACGTATATATTGGCTCAGCGGTGGGCAATTCTCCGGACGGGCAGCATGCACACGTGTATGACGGAGGTGACACGTCGACACTTTAGTGTCGCAATGGCGATGCAATTAGCCCCGTTGTAATTAGCATTTCTGCGCCGGTACGCGCGTCAAGCCACCGTTATTTTCCGGTATTTTTTCCCTTTTTTTCTTTCATTCGGTCCCTCCCGTTCTCCACGATCCTTTCTCTCTCTCTCTCTCTCCCCCTTTCGACCTCTATCTCGTTCATCACGCGAGCTGTCCGTACGTGACACATTATCGAATGAAACTTACGCCCCCTCGTTAACTTAATCCTAGTATGCTGACGCGTACATAAGATTGGTGTGTTCGGCGTTACCGAGAGAAGAGCGGACGGAGAGCGTGAAAACATGTGTGCGCGCGCAAATTGATTTTAATCTCTACACTTTCGAAAAGTGCGTCGGCCCTTCGTCGGCTCGTCGCCACCCTGTGATTTCAATGTAACAGTCACCGTAAACTCGCGCCCCATAAATCTCAATTGGCCGGCGCCGGCGTTGAAAAATGGCTTGATATGACGCGGGGGTATTATTTTTTGATTTATCCTCTGGTCAAGTTGTTACACATTCCCCCGCACGCTCTTCACAACTCGCCCCATGGGTGAACTAAATGTGGCCTGAAGAGAGAGGGAGCCGCGCGCTTGATTTCTTAACGCGAAAGAGAAAGAGAGAGAGTCTATTGCTACTGCACGATCCCGCGGCGCATACACACTTCGCACACTTCGCCAACCTCGCTTTCCTTCGAGGTGAAATTTATGTCCGCGGGAAACCGGGCACGCCATTGCGCCGGCCACGCAAGAGTTTATTAAACGACGCATGCGGCGAGGCATGTAAACGTGTTCTTCTTTTGCTTTCCTCCGGTTTTCCCCTTTCCTCATCTCTCGGTCGATTCGTCGTGCAACATTCTCGGCGTTGCCCGCGCGTCCCTTCGCGATTTCACCCCTTCCGCAATACCCCCGTCATATTTCCTCGGTTATCGTACCTAGGCTATCGACTAGCGCGATATGGGCTTTGCGTATCTACTTATCAGCGTTACCAAGTACTCTCGCGATTTATTCGATTAAAGTCCTCAAACACACACCATCCGATTATGCGTGCGGGCACGCGACCGCGACGGCACTCGCGACTATTTCGCCGGGGTTTACTTCCTACGTCGTCTCTCAGCGTAATAGCGTGCCCGACGGGCATAAACGGCCGTACGTAATCTGCGCGCTGTAACAAAACACATTCCGTGACAGGTAAGAATCGTCAAAGCCGCGGTTACATTCACGCCACTCGTAGGCATTTTATGCTAAATAACGCCGTAAAATATTTAACTTATTAACCCGTAAACTTAATGAGAATTCGCCTAAATCCCTCTGCCACGGATACCGCTGAGCATTAACGCGTTCTAGCAAATTACAGTGTTTGAGATCCCGCTTGAGATTGATAAAATTGGTACCAACGAGCAAATTGCATCGACCGGCCGCACGAACAGTGACGGGATATTTTGAAGAGACGTTGCGCCAGGTCGGTGCGCGAAGTTCGTCGTATTTGTTGAATCACACAATTCCGAAGTAATTGTTATTAATCGAAACGGTCACCGCGCCGACACCCGCGTCCACTTTTCCATCTGCAGAAAGAGGAAAAGGGAGAGAGAAGTTTTTTCCAACCACTTTAAAAAAAAAAAAAATTGAATTGGTAACTCTGTTTAAAACTTAATCTAAAAACGACAAACCTCTCACGCCAATCTAACAGGAAGGCGTAAACGACATAGAAATGAATCTTTTCACCGCGGCAACTAGACCGGCTTTTTGCGGCCAATATTTTCGCTCGCCCATTTCTCTCTCTCTCTCTCTCTCTCTCTCTCTCTTCCTCTCCCTTATCCACTCTCCTTTTTTTTTTTAGAAAAATGTTGTGATAAAATTGTTACAATTCCTACTACACGACAGGATGAAACGTGTTAGCGGCAAATTATTTCGCAAGATACCGTTATGAGATACACGATATCAGTTTTGTAGTGCATTTTATTAAGTGCGATATATATTACGTGTGACAGCAAATTATCAGCCCATAGAACGCATCCGTACGTTTCATGTAGCGGATGTGTAATGTACTATTGGATTATAGTTACATGGGCGGCGTTTAAATCGATTCGCACCAGTGGACGATCAGACCTGACCACATCGGACCGTATTCTATTAAATTAAGCCCATTGTTCTTCGCGAGTATGGCTACGTTGTATCGGTCCGAGAACGGACCAATTTAAAGCCACGAGATCCAATTAGAGTCGATCACACACATTCGATTGTATTGTTTTGCTGGCCCGGCTAAGTTTATTCAATATTTCACTCGCACGAAACGTCGAGAGAAAGAGAGCCGTTTCAATTAATTTCAACATAATTTACGAACAACTAGCAAGGTTCTCGATTCAATCATTCCCTTTGTTCCGGGGAAAAATTTCGAGACGATCGAATAAGTTTCATAATTAGATGGTGAAGGCGACTCTTGTTACGCATTGAACCGGTTTCAGCTAATAAAACACATGTCTGGTGGATAATAATAACATATCGGTCAATACAACAATATACAGAGTCCGCTGCGTAATCGTACATTAACGCAAAACTGCATACGTTATCGAGAAAAATGTTAAATCTCTGAAAATATATA